GTAGTTTGCCGAAATCAGAAGTGTCTGGATGCTGATGGTAACCACTTTAAGCACCTCTTGTAATTGCAGAAGTCAAATGTGACTTGTATTCACCTTTTGTTATCAGTATATATAGAGTAATACAATTTTAATAGTTTTTCCTTTCTTAAAATGTGCATACATTTTTTTGGCACCCTCTGTATATATATAATCCAGAAATATAAAGAAAAGCTAATTAAAGATGTGATCACTGATTTTATCCCAGGAGTACAAAGTTGATTTAAAATCCTAAAGTCAATAAATATAAATCAACACAACAATTAAATAAGAGAAATTAAAATACTGAAAAACATTTGAGAAAATTCAACTTACACTGGTGACTAAAACAACAAAATCTTAGCAAGGTCTGACAAAAAGAGAGCTTTCTTAATACAAAAAAAAAAAAAAGTATAAAAAAACCTACAAAAAATATACTGAAAAATTTCCCAACTGTGATCAAGAAAAAAAGGATGCCTACAATCAAAATTTCCATTCTACATTACAGTGTATTGTCCAGGCCAGGAAAAAGCAAGGAAAAGAAAAAGTGTAAGAATAGAAAAGAATGAAACACAATTGCCAAAATTTGCTTCTGTTATGTTTATGAACCACAAACCCGAAAGACTCTTCAGATATATTAATAAAACGAACAAAAAGTTTTTGCAACATAGCTAGATACAAAGTCAATATATAAAGATTACTGTTTATATAGTAAGAATAAGCAATTAAAAATAAAATCACTAAAAAAAAATCAACTATCTTTTTAAAAGTGTGAAAAATAAGCCATAGAATGTAAGAACATATTTACAATGTATTACCAGCCACAGCTTATATGTAAAAAAAAAAAAACCAATAAAATTACAAATCAATTTGTTTCAAATGGTCAGAGAGATCAATAAAAATGAGCAAAAGATTTGAAGAGGATAATCAGGGAAATGTAAATGAAAACTACAATGACCTACTACTTTTTTGGGCCTATCTAAGTCCCATTAGGTAAGCCAAAAACAAAAACTCTGATAATGCTGGGGGATAGCGAGAATTTAAAGCAAGGACAGCTTCCACACACTGCTGACAGGGGTGCACATTAGAAGAGCTCCTTTAGGAAAAACATAACATTAGCTAGTAACGTTGATTTTTATAACCTAGCAACTCTTAAGTACCATTTCCCCATGTATAAGACGCACCTTAATTTTGGGGCCTGAAATTTGAAAAAAAAAATGTATTACATAAAGTTATTGAACTCGTTTTATTCATCATAAAATTCATACAACTCATCACTGTCAAAACTCCCAACCATTAGCTTGTCCTCATCTGTGTCTGATGACAAATCACTGTCTTCATATATTGCCTCGTCCTGTTCCATCTATGGCATTTGAAATGTACAACCACTGTGTAGGACGCACCCAGTTTTTAGACCCCAAATTTTTTAAAAAAAAAGGTGTGTCTTATACATGGGGAAATATGGTAAATATCCTAGTTTACAAAACTTACACCTGTAAACCAGGATATGTATATAAGAATGTTCACAGCAGCACAGTTTATAAGAGTCAAAAATGAGGAACAGCTCTAATACCCATTGACAGTAAAATGGCAAAAATGGTGCCCTATTCATAATAAATGAACTAAATAACAACGGACAAACTAAAGCTACACGTAACAATACAAATGAAGCTATTAACATAATGGTGAAGGAAGAAGGCAAGACACTAGCAAGTATAGCATGTAACTGTAAAAAATAAGAAACAGAAAAATAATGAAATGAAAAAAAAGAAATACAAAACATTTAAAACTGCATAAAGCTCTACAGCAATATAAATATAGAATAACTACCACTTATCGGTGGCTACTGTGAAACCCACTGTTATGGAATTCACTTTATGTTCACAATTCTGAGAGTCACTATGAATTCAGTTTACACAAATGGGAAAATGGACACTCAGAGAGTTTAGGCAACTTTCCAAACATCCCAGCTAGTGGTATAAATGAAATAAAAACCTAGATCTAATTCTAAAATCCATAGTTTTTCCACTAAAATCATTTGAAGATTTTGTGATGGCTTTCCTTAAAAATCTGGGGGAAAAAAATAAAAAATTCTTCATAATAATGAAAGTCAGTAATGAGCTCAGATAGGTATTTTAATTGTTTTTCTTCACAACAAAAATTAAAAGTTTAAAAGGCAAAAGGAAGCATTTTTCAAAAACAATGACAATATAATCACTAAAGACAACATAAATATCCAGAACCTACATAAAACCAGAAAACTTTCTGAGGGGCTGGAGAGAGGAACCAATTTGTATTAAGATAAAAGTAGATTATTCTGCCAAATTTATTATTTTAATGTGACACCAGTCAAAATTCCATACAGTCACTTGATAGAATACTAAAAGTATCCTTTTAGCTGTTAAAAAAGTATTTTCAAAAGAATATAGGCATCTATGTATGATAAGCTCAAGTGATAAAAAAATAATTCGATTAATAACTTTTTTAAAAGCAAAAAAATCAGAAACATACCCAAATTTTAACAATTGTTGCCTGTCAACCTAAGAAACATCCAATCCTGTAGAGAATTTTAATGAGTTTATTTGAGCCAAACTGACAACAGCTCCCAGAAAGCAAAATCTCTCCGAATTGAGAAAACGCTCTGGAGAATGGCAGTTTTGCAGCTCATTTTCTACATTAGAATCAAAGAAGGAGACATAACAGGGGTTACACTGGTGGTAGATAAAGGGGGCAGAAGAAAGCAAAGTGGGGAAATCTCTGGGATTGGATAAAAAGTAAAATGGAGACACACATAGTTCTTTTACATTGGTGGGTACAGGATAATTAAAAATTGACATTTATAGCACACAGAGATGGTATGTGGGGGCAAGATAACAATGAGGGGCTCTGTGTCTCGCGCTCTGGTGTGGAGGCTGTGCTTTGAGGAGTCCAGAAAAAGGGATTACTGATATTCCTTACAAGCAAAAAGACAACAGACAGTCTCACTTAAGGTAAAGACTGACCTTTGTCAAAAAAGCTACAGGCCCAGGATGTGACTATCCCCTGACCTGCTTTTAGTTAGGAATTTTTATGTTCAGACCATCTGACGTGGTTAATTTTGGTCTCTGAGTTTGTAGCTTCCCCGAACCCAGTTCCAACATGTGTAGGTTTTCTCACACAAAGCAATTCTCAGCCACCATCAGGGTATTCAAGAATTCAACTAAATTCTGGCAATAACCAGAGAGAGAATTAGATTCCATAGGTAAAGGTCTCAGTCCCCCAAGACAGCCCTCCACTTCAGATGCTAAGGTTGGTCTGGCTATAAATCAGAGGTTCCTACAACCCCCTCCTGAGGTTCAATTAATTTTCTAAACTGGGTCACAGAACTCAAGAAAACTGGTTTACTCACTAGGTTTGCAATTTATTACAAAGGATATTAAAGGATATGAATCAATAGCCAGATGAAGAGATACATAAGGCCAGGTCCTGCACAAAAGGAGCTTCTGTCCATATTGAGCTTGGGGCCCAGCATGGTGGCACAGTGGATGTGTTCCAGTCCCCTAACATGAAAGCTCTTCGAAAAAAGGAGCCATGAGCTGTCCCTTTGTGTTTTCATGGAGGCCCCATTACATATTTATAATTGATTTATTCACTGGCCATTGGCAATGGTTTCAACCTCAAGCCCCTTTTCTATTCCCGGAGGTGGGTACGGGGTAGAAGGACTGAAAATTCAAACCCCCTAATCAAAGGTTGTTTCCCCAGGCAACCAGCCTCCACCCTAGGGTGGGGTCCAAAAGCCACCTCATTAACATAACAAAAGACACCTTTATCAATTTCAAAACTTAAGACTTAATTCCAACGGTTGGGGGAAGCTGTGAGTCAGCAACTAGATCAAGATCAAATATCTTATAAATCACAATATCGTAGCTTCAAAGTATTTTCATAGAAAAAATAAGAGAGGATGACTTGGGGGTCCAAGGAGAATTGAAAACAGGCTTTGAATAGAAGATTGGCTATAATGGACCATACTCTTGTCAGCTGTGAGAAATATAACTCCAGAAAGCCTGTACCCATTATCCAAAGTTGTGGACTCAAATTACTGAACCCACCCCCCAATCCCTGACCCCTACCCCCACCCATCAAGACCTCCACCAATTTACTTAACTTCTCATACCAATGCATGACCCAGACAAGAGACTCAATCACAAACACAAATGAGCCTGTCCAACCGCTTACGCCCACAATGATATCTCATTCTGAACCATGGACCCACCACACTGAAGCTATCACCACCTCCACACAACTACCAAAAGTCCCTAAGAAGTAATCCCTATCCTCCACAGGACCATACCCCACACAGACCCCGAAAACTGGCCCACTCCCATGACACCGCCACTTACAGCCAAGCCTCCCCCTCCGATAACTAAGCACAATCGGATCCCCCAACCCACCTCCCAAAACCCACAGACATCCTTCATCAATTACGGATGCCACAATCTTCCCCAAGCACTTTATTAAGCTCCGCACCTGTATACAGGCAACTATAGCGTCCTCAGCGCGCCACGGGAGGTTTAAAATAATTCCACATACCACTTCCGCTTCCGGTCTCCGCACTTTTCCTACCGGGCTCACTCAGGGGCCGGTGGATGAAAAGGGCCGCTTCCTTCCAAGGACCCGGATTCTGCGCAGTCGAAACTTGGTGAGTAATATGGCCGCCCCCGTTCAGCGGCTTTACAATTGAAGTGGCCATCTTAAACCATGTGCCGTACTGAGACGAACAAACACTTAGGGCCATACCTCCGCAGTCAGCCACGTGCATTACACATGCGCAGTAGCATATTAGACCCTGCCAATACGTTTTTAGGACCACTGAAAGGCCTGCCTTTTAATAAAAGTGAACTGGCTCTTTAAGAAAACTGAGCCAGGACCTGGGAGGTCTATGGATGGAGCTGGGTTTCCTGTTACTCTCTAGTCTTGACTTCCTGTTAAACTTTATGGTTCTACTTTCCTACGGAGCGGGGAGGGGGATATGTAGAGGGCATCTTGGACCACTCCGCCCTCTTTGGCACCCGTGGCCGGCTGTGGTTTCTGTGTTCCTGTGCTACTGTGGTGGTTTTGTTTTGTTCCCCCCCCCCGCGAATAAACCCTCCTTTTGGTGGACTATTTAAAAGACTATTTTGTCCGATTAACATTTGACTTGTCCAGAATCTAGAGAAAAAGGAACTCTCCTGGCTTCTGAAAGGTGAGCAAACCCACCTTGAGCTTCAGTGAGCTGTTTGGGCTCGCTTTTGCTCCTCTGCTTCGAAGCCTCGGGTGAGTTCTCTCCTGGCTCTGGGCCAACGCTTTGCGTCTGACGCTCCAGGTTTTATTCGGAACTTGTTTTATTTTTTTTTTAACGTTTTATTTTTGTGTGTGAATGAGTTAGAGGCCAATTTGTCTATGTAGTCCATGTACTGGTGGCACGTCAGCTTTAATTCTTCAGAAAGCAAGCTGTCCTTTCAGACACAGACTGGCCTTCGCATAAAGTCCCTTTGGGTATAAAGGTTATTTCTACTGAAATTGGTCAGTTTGGGCCGGTATTAGACTGTGCCATCTCGATGAGAAAGTGAGAAGAGTGCCACCCAGCTCAGCCTATAACTTAACTCCCTGAGAGTTGGTTATTTCCCTGGAACTGACTATTAGCCTTCAGCCTGGTTCTCAGTTATCAGACTTTCAGAGGGAGGCGACGTGAAGACCTGCAGGTTCTTTGAGTTGTGAATTTATTTGGGCGCAGTTAAAAAAGGGGATCTCTGTTGTCTAAGCCTCCTAAAACTGTTCCTCCAACAGGGACACTGGCTGAGTATATGTTTAAAACCCGCGGGGAATTTTCGTGCATGTATTTAACTAAATGGACAGATCTGACTAAGAGTAATTTAGAAAATCATTGGCCACTTTGGGGAACTTTAGAGATTCCCAAACTTGATTTTCTTAAANAAAAAAAAAAAAAAAGAAAGAAAGAGAGGAGGAATTGGTGATACTGAGTTTGAGCAACACTTGATTTTTGATGAAGACCGATAAACTTACTTCTTGATGCGGAAGTGCCAGAAAACATTTATTGGCTGCAAGGAATTGTCAGCTTCCTCTTAATGGAAAATGTATTTCATAAAAATTCCTGTTCGTCTTTTGATTATGGCTGACATCATCAGCACCAGAGGAAAAGTGGCAACTCAGTTTTGGACTCTACAGATTATATTGCGATGTTTTGACATTAGGCACTCTGAATGAGCCACAATGTGTATTTATATATAATACATCCATCCTCCAACTGGGCTGCAGTCTTGTCTATCATCTCTGCTGTGCATTTTTCCCACCACACTTTTATCTGCGCATAGTATTACTTTTTATTGTGTGAATTAATAAAAATTTCTTCAAATCCTTTGGAAAAACAACTCACCTTAGATTTGGTCATTTTCAGCTGTTCTTGGGAAGTTGCCAGTGACACCAACATCCGCTCAATGACTTCCAGCTCTGCTTTGTATCTTAGCTAAGAGCTCTCTGGTCAAAAGGACCACCAGAAACACGACACTCTTTGTTCTGGAACCTCTACGTCCTCATGTCACGGGAGCTGCCTTTTCCCAGAAAGTCAAGACCTGCGGATTAAGGGGAATATTCACTTTACATGACATATTAATTGTAGGCTTTTATTGCAGAGACCTTATCTTCACATAAAATTCTAAGCTGGGCCCTCCGGTGACTCTGCTCAGGCTGCTGGGGATAAATATAACCTGGAGTTTGACACCTCAAATGTTTTGTTTAATCCAAAGGCTCTGGACATACAATGTCCAAGGTTAAGATGCTCTCAATAGTCACATATATCCTGAGCATACATCTGTATTGACAACTTTCCTAGGTATCAGAAAGTTAAATAAAAAGTTCTGTCTTTGACTATATATATATTAAAGTCTGTAACTTCAAAAGTATGGTCTATTGGGAAACAGAATACCTGGAAGAAACTGAGTTTTGAGAACAGTGCCAGAAAAGGAAATTATAGGCAATATCACACATAGACACTGATGATGCTATATTAAAAAAAATAATATATCAGAGCCAGGTTTTTGAGAGCACTAACTCACCTGTGTCTCTGGACTTGGCACCAACTCCTTAAATAAACCTTTCCTTTCTTTGCTGGAAAACACACACACACACACACACACACACACACACACACACACACACACA